CACATGCTCCAAGTTAGCGGGAATGCCAAGACTGACTTTGCATTTCCCAACTCCCATCGATAGTGGAAATAATCGATTTTTTCATGCTTCTACGCAGTTTTCATGTAGTTTGCGGGCATTTTCTACTGACCAGAGTGAGAGCCTATAGCTGGCTGCCTCGAATAGGCAGGAAGATTCTATTGGCCAGCATGAGAGCCAACAGCTGACTGACACGAATGCTAGCTAGCATGCTAGCATGCGAAAAAAATCGATAGCTGCATTCGTTACAAGTGGAAAAAATTTAAAACTGCATGGTACTTTACTCCAATTGGCTCATTCGCTTGCTTAAACTCAACGTTAATTCTGATTCCGCAAAACTGGGTTGGGTGTGAAAAAGTATTTGTTGTTAACATTCTTTTTTCATTCGGTTTTTCCAGTTACGAGTCCTTTTTTAAAGCTGATCGTTTTGTGTTCCTTTTGTTTAGTTCTCTTTTCGTAAAAAAATTAATGTTTAGTATAGAGCTTAGAAATAATTCGCAGTGTGAGATAGGCAAGAAGTAAGGCATGTAGCAACATCAGCACGACAAACGGCACTCATTTAAAGGCAAGGAAGGGCAAAAATACTTTACGTCAAGTGATAGCGATTGCTGTATGAGTCGTACGATTTTTTAATCAAGCACGGGCAACACCGGGCCATGCTGCTAGTTGTGAAATAATAAGGATTTATTGATACAAGTGCCACTAATTAACAAAAAGCTGCGAGGTGAAGAGGCGGAGTCATCCCTTTCCCAAGGTTATGTGCGCGTAAGTGAATATAACGAACCCAACTGGAATTGGAACACGGCTCTCCGATTTCCCTTTGTGAGCCGTCATCCATTACACTAATCTTCACTCAAGCTTACAGGATCTTGTATTCCCAAGCGGTCACCCATCTAGATACTGACCAGGCTCGACGTTGCTTAACATTGGTGATCTGGTTTGGTTTGGTTTGGTTTGGTTTGTTTTGCTTACAGTATATCAGGATCAATGGATTATTTAATGCCTACAAGATTTTTATTGCTGTAAATATTTTTTTTTATTTTCAAAAATGTATTTCCACTATATTTTTTTCTTCAAAAATGTATTGCTGTTAATAATTTTTTTACAAAAATATATTGCTGGCATTAAAACCCACTTTTACACTTTCATAGTGACCTGACCCCAGTTTGGGTGTTGACTATAGCTGGGACCCTGACAGGTGCTATCTGAGAACACTAGCAATTAAGAGGTGGTCCCTTGCTCTCCAAAACTTCCTGATCACAGGCTTTACTGCCGGATGTAGTTTATCGTCATACTCAGGACGGTCGGTGATCTGACATGAACCAGTGTTTCCAAATATCTCTCGGAAGATAAAGATTAGCAAAAAAACGGCGACGACAAAGTCTATTTCATGACCAAGTTGCAGCAGGAATATCACTTAATAGACAAAGGTATCTGAGTGCCTCACATGAAAGTCTTGAACTAATAAGACTGCAATCTAAAAGTAGGATTAAATGAACTGATTAATTAAGCAGTCCATTTTGTTCGGGAACCAATGTTGTCTAAACGCAGATAAATAATTATTGTGTAGATTATTAAAACGACCAAGGGAAGTAATCACTCATAAATTTATTAACATAAATTGATTTAGCTCACTTCACTTCTCACTACAGATGGTACTGGACGTATATAAATATGTGCACATCGATAATTATTATACGGCTCGATAATTTAGAATTTTCTGTACATAGGTGAAAGGGGGACAATATACGAGATAAAGTATTTATCGATTCAGTAATCAGCACTGTAATATTCATGCTTCACACATTGTGTAACTACTCATTTCGTGGGGGTCTATATATAGACCAATGTGGAATTGTGGGAAGGAACGGGAAGAGAAAATCAGCCCTTCCCAGCAAATTGAAGGTCATATGTTAATAAATTAAGGCTTTAGTCCTAAAAAATCGGGAAAAGAACGCTGTCCTAAGAATCATACTTCCTCAATCCGATAGTGATCTCCATATATATCTTGCTTGTGTAGTACTGACATATGTTCCGAAGAACGATGTGTGAAACTGGCAACCACAATACAGTGTTAATTTCTATGGTCAAAAAATCTCTTTCTGCCTCTCCCTCTCTCCCAATCTCTCACTCCTCCCCCCCCTCTCTCTCTCTCTCTCTCTCTCTCTCTCTCTCTCTCTCTCTCAATATAAATATTAGCCGTTTTTGTATAAGGAAACATTCAGCCGGGAAGCCAATCTTTCTCTAAAATTTTTTTTTTTCAGGAAAATAGGATTCTCAAGTCCATTGGCTGCTATCGCCCTTTCCAGTATTGATGAGGGTTTATTTCCTAACCTTTTATTTTAAAGTAGTGTGGAACGTCAAACATCTTGATGATGTTATTATTTTCTCTTCGGTTTACATGTGATTTTAATTGTTGCCCCTGTTGGGCTATTTGAGGTGAATTGTCGCCACTTATCAGGCAGCACTTCGAAATTAAATGAATAATATTCAACCGTGTGAAATATTTTTTCGACAATCTCTTGAATCTTATTTTTCCGAATCAAACGTTTTACAGCGATCGAAAAAGATAATAATTGCATGAAAATGGCGAGTAGGATAGAACAGTATGTAACGTGTGCTTTTCTTGCCCCCATGCGGCCTTTCTTTATCATAGAGGAGATTTTATTCCGTTAATCTATTGTGTACACTGCCACAACTGCGTAAAATCTAAGATAGGTTAGTGTATGAAAAAAATATTGTTAACAAGGAAGCATGATTAATAATTACGATGATATATTTATACTTCGAATTGGTTCCTAAAAGCAAAATTTATATCACTCCCACCAAATATAAACCAGAACTATGTTTATCTTTTGTCAGTCAGTTATACAGTTTTCGATACATAACTGACAAGGCCGATTTTTCCCGCAGTAGGTGGCAATTTCTTTCCGTAGACCAGTTGCCATCCAAGGCTATAGACCCCGGTCTGTCCTGTTATTTATCCATAGCTGTGCGGAGAGGAGAAGCGAATTCATACTTTTCCCAAGAGTATTAGCACGTAAGTGAATGTAGTGGATTCGACTAGAATTCGAACTCGGCTCTCCGATTCCTCAAAAAGCAGGTCATTTATCTCCTGTTGAAACAATCTGAATTTCTGTACCAATAGAATTCTCATATTCATTCATTTATAACATATGCTTAGGTGATCATGTATCTTTCGATACGACTGACGAAGCAGATTTTTTTTTCCCACAGTAGGTGGCCATTTCTTTCTGCGGTAGACCAGTTGCCATCCAAGGCTACATAACCCAGTCTTTACTGGGGGAGAAGAAGAGGATTCATACCTTTCCCAAGGATATTAGCACATAAGTGAACATAATGGATTCGATTGGAATTCGAACTCGGCTCAATCCGAACCGCTATCCATTACTCCACATTTGGGCCTCCTCTTTTGTACTAGGTGTAAATTAAACTTATAAATTTATTGTGGTTTTTATCTTAGATGTATTTTCGACATTTAATAAATCAGCAACGTAAACTAAATAAAATAGAAACCTATTCACTGAATCTGCTTTCACTCCGTGTTTCCCAGTGCTAGATTGTTATTGGTGACTGGCCTGTTCCACCACCAGATTTTTCTAGTGATGAGTTTGACTAGATACACATCAGATTTAAAATAAGACCTGTCAATGTGCGGTTGAACATCCTTGGTAGGATCACCGGCCAAATTTAGCACACAGTGGAGCAGGCTACGCTATGTAGCTATGTATACAGCCTTCCCCCGTGCTGACACGGCATCTTTGGGCGGAGTGTTATCATAAGTCAACGGCCAGGGCGGATGGTTCTCCCGATGGATTCAAAGGCCACGAATTCGTGACCAAGACTTCGTTAGCGGGAATCGATTGAGACTGTTTATTTTCTGTTGACCAAAACAGGCGAAGCACGAATCACTAACTGTCTAGCTAGCTTTCAACCCAGATATATGGCGGGAACTGCTTTGGCGATCAATTACGCAACGACCCAACGACCACACCCAGTTATGGGACTGATGAAGATGACGAATAATCTCTTGTCTATAGATTTTGCGTACATCAACTTATTTACTTACTTTTTCCACACCGTCTCTTTTATTAGTTTTTCACGTGTCAGCCTTTAGGAAAATAGATTTGTAAATGTATCGCCACATCAAGGGAGATAATTCAATTACTGCAAATGGTTAGAAAAAATAGATTCTCATCGTTGACAGCAACCACTCTTTGAAGCCGGTAATAAAAGTCTAGAGAAGTTATAGGGGGCGCTATTAATTTTAACAAGACAGGTGAATTGACTCTTTGAGATTTGATTTGGCCAATATAGTATTTGACGCATTCGTTTATCTTCTTGCCTATATAATTACATCTATTTTGTATGAGAAGTAATTTAAGTTCGCAATACGAAGTTCGAATCGGAGTTTCGTGATTACACACTCGCCAGGACGCAGGCAAGAATGATTGTGTCTTGTCTGGGTCCTGAAAAAGCGAGTAATCTTCAGGCTCCGAGTTGATTTCCGATTACTTTTGACACAATAATTACTCTCCAGGATAAATATTGAACACATTATTGGCAAGAATTCTGTTGGCTTTCATAGACGTTGAATTATATAATTTGACCATTGACTTTATTTACATTTTTGGACATATTTTAAACATTTAGCTGCAATCGACATATGTGTATAGATCAAATAACTGTAAACTAAAGTCCTATAGCCACTGTTGTCTGCTCCGGTAATCGTGGTTTGACTGTTCCCGCCACAGCTTACTTCCGGCGATTAGCGATGCTATAAGGTAACAAAACGTAAATACATGGAATTAGCTCTGTTCCATTAAATCTGCCGCATTTACCAAAATAAAGTTAACATAAGCCGGTTAGGGGTGAGGGGAATTCAGGCACATAGCCTAAAAAGATTCGCTTGGAAAGAAAAGGTTAATAACCATGGTTCTACACGAAGATTAATGTTTCTTTTACAAGAAAACAAGGAATGAAAACAGAATAAAGAAAGAAAGAAAAAAGAAAGAAAGAAAGAAATGGAGGATGGATCTAAGAAAGAAAGGAAGTGTGAAAGAAAGAAAGAAAGGAAGTGTGAAAGAAAGAAAGAAAGAAAGAAAGAAAGAAAGAAAGAAAGAAAGAAAGAAAGTATGGATAAAAGAAAGAAAGAAATGGAGGATAGATCGAAGAAAGAAAGGAAGGAAGGAAGGAAGGAAGGAAGGAAGGAAGGAAGGAAAGAAAGAAAGAAAAAGACAAGAAGAAATAAAGAAAGTATGGAAGAAAGAAAAACAAAAACAAACAAACAAAGGAAGCAATAAAGGAAAGAAAACAGAAAAACGAAAAGAAGAAAGTATGAAAGAAAGAAAGAAAGAAAGGAAAGAAAACAGCAAAAGAAATGAAGAAACTATGGAAGAAAGAAAGAAAGAAAGAAAGAAAGAAAGAAAGACTTAACAAAGACAAAAAAAAGTATTAAGTCTCATTTATATTTCTGTAATATTGTCTAAGTATTTGCTGAAAAATTCTCAGCCTAGCCTACTTTGTAAATTCTGACCAAACATCAGATTCTTTTTGGAAAAATACACTTTATCTGAATTTCTGAGATGAGGAAATGCCATTATTTGCATTGCTTAATTGCGAACTATTGTCCCCACCGTTGTCCTTTTCACATTTTGATCGCTGTTCGCTTTTGACTTCATCTGGTATATATCGATCCTGGAAACCTAAAAGGAGTTCTCTTTAATTTAATCTGCAGAGACAGACAGTATTGGTTCAAATCCCTATGTACAGCTTTATTTCGTCTAGTTTTATTTATTTTTTCATTTCTGCGCCGCTTTTGCTCCCACTGTTTCCACCGAATCCATATACACAGTAGATTTGGTGATTTAGTAATTATTTCAATCCCTGGAACGGACAGTGCGTAGTTTGAGTAGATTTGATTTAATTCATTTAACGACATGTCAACTACTTATGGGTCATTTTATGCCGAATTTTAATTTTCTTGGGAACTCTGAAATAATAAAAATATCATATATATTATTCTGATTTCACAATTGAATACATGGTAGATAATACTCAGCTTTTGTGCATATATATGTATGTGTGGACATAATTACTAAGGGAGGAGGTATATGTGTGTCTTAGGTTGCTGTTTTGTTGAAGTTATATTTTAGAATACAGTTTGATAAAAGAAATTGCAGGATAATACAGGGTGTTTCCAAAAAGAATACGCCAAAATCATCACGTGATGTGTCAAAAACGAAAAAAAAATTACAAACCTCTAGCATGAACACATGTGTTGTATATACATTCAAGTTTCATTTCATGTTTTATAAGTGCTCAATGTGGCCACTACCGGCAGCGCGGACAACATCAAGCCGATATGCTCAACAGTTTTATGTGGGTTCTCTGTTCCCCAAATGCGCACATTGTGACGATTGATTGTGCCTCTCAAACGGAAATTCGCTTTGTCACTAAAAACTAAACGTGAAAAGAGAGTTTCATCACCTTCCTCCATCGCCAGCATTGACTCACAGAATGTCCTCCGCATCACCTTGTCATCATTAGTAAGTGCTTGGACGAGGCTTAGTTTGTATGGTTTCATGTGTAATCGTCTCTTTAACACACGCCAGACAGTGGTATGAAGGATGGCAAGCTGAAGACTTGCTTGACGTACGGACTTACGTGGGCTGCTCTCAAATGCATCATGAATCCTCTCCACTTGCTCCTCTGTAACACGTGGTCTTCCAGGACTCTTTCCTTTGCACAGGCACCCAATCTCTTTAAACCCTCTAACCCACCGTCGAATGATCTCACGATGGGGTGGATCAATGCCGAATTCTGTTCTGAAAGCACGCTGCACCGTGACAATGGCGTTTGTTTTCGCGAACTCAAGCACGCAAAACGCCTTCTACTGAGGAGCCGCCATTTTGATTGATCTTCCCACAATTCAGCTGCACCGGAACTTATACTAACTTTTTTTTGTTTTATAAATATAAAAATGTACTACTGACATTTTTACTATAATTTTTTTTTTATTTTTATACTTTGATAGTGTTTTGTTTTGTTTAAGAGTTCACTAATTGACCCGAGTCAAGGTGAAGCTGGGAACAACAGCAATGAAGAGTTGGTTCCACGTTCCTCAAAACCTCCAATCCAGTAATCAGAGGTCTTGCTGCCGAACGTAATTTATCGTCATACCTAGGACTATAATTGGAATGGACGAGATATAGAATACGAATAGAAAATGAATTCAGTAAATGTTAATCCTAAATCTTACTTTAAGAATAAATTCTGGATTATTCTAATATCTTAATAAAATGAATAAAATTTCCTTACCGCCCAGTCAATTTCTTGTACCGTAACTTAGCAAATATTTTGGCTAATTTTTAAATCATTAATACATCCTTGTGCTTTTGCATGTCCTTCTGATATCGTTCTGATCATAGATATACCATTTCTTGTTTCAGTGTCTTTAATAGTTTCGGGTATGGCGATAAACTACATCCGACTTCAAGGCCTTTCCTCAGGAGATTGGGGGGGTTGAGGGACGTGGGACCACCTTTTAATTGTTGTTCTTGTTCCCAGGTTCACCCCCCACCCACTGGAGGTGGTAGCACATGTTGTGGTCCTAGCTATGAAGAAATAGCGAACTACAAAACAAAGAACAAAGCATTAAAATACTTTCCAGCAATACATTTTTAGAAAAAATACCGTACATTTTTTTATAGTAAAATGACCAACAACACATTTTTATAACAGGTTGACAAACAATACACTTTTATAGTAAAATGACAATCAATATATTCTATAGTAAAATTAAAGACGTGACAATTTTTTTTTCATTATTTTAAGGAGAAACAAATTTTAATTCTTTGATTTTGTTATATTTGTTAAAAAAAAAGAATGCGGTTAAGTAATTATGATTTAATCATGAAATAATGTCATTTTCTTAAATTAATAATTAATTTCAATTTTCATATCTAGATTTTGATATACGGGTTGATATGGCGCTAAACAAAAACAGGCAAATTAAACCAAACCAAACGATTGTCTTTAGAGAGAGAGAGCATAGTGTTCTTGTCCTATTTCAAGTCTAAATATTATATGCGCTCTATTCACCAGAATACCAGTAAGTACCTGACTCTTCCTGCTATGCTCTACCATTACAAGAGCGAAATCAGGCCCAAAATAGATTACTGTTGTAATATTTGGGCGGGAGCTGCCCAGACGTCGCTCTTCAGACTTGAGAGCGTCCAAAAGTGTATTCGAGCCCTTGCGGGTGACAAATTATTCTCCACCCTTCAGGCCCGCTCACACAGGCACGATGTGGCAAGCCTCTTGCTGCTCAACCCCTACATCCACAAAAAGTGCTCGGACGAGCAAATTCTCTGGCCCCGCTAAGTCAAACCTTCACGGCAAGAACACGCCATGCCACTACCATAGAAGCAAACCATCCCCGTTCTTTTCGTATCCCATCGGTGTAAAGCAAGTTCTAATCGACCAGCTTCTTCCCGCAAACCACTTCCCTATGGAACCAACTCCCAAAAATGTTTCCCAATCACTACAACTTAATCTGTTCATGGCTCGGGTTAACCGTTATCCCTCATTCCTTTATATAATGGCCGCCTAACGTAACACTCTGCCTCGAGTGGCCCCCGGGACTTGTAAAGGGTGAACCTTATTATAAAAATGATACGTTTCGTTATGTGGCTAAATATACTGATGGCGAGCGAATTCATTTGCCAAAAAATAATTTTTAGTGTATATGGGGAAATTAAAAAAAAACTATTACGGAAAAGGAACAGTAAAAGAACAGAAATTATGAAGGCAGATAATGACAACTCTCTTGCGCTTAAATTATGGAAGATCAAATTTCATTGGAAAGCAACGAATCAGGTCTTGAATTCCTGACACGAGAAATACGGAGAAGAAACTGTTAACATAGAACTTACGGTTACATCTAGCAATTTCAAATCTAAAATGATGAGACCTAACTGCCAATCTAGTATTGAGATTAAATTCGTAAAGTCTAGGTACCAAAAAGGAAAGCTCATCAAAACAATTACCATGAAACTCTCTGCTCTTCAAAACTAGATTATAAAAAGCAGGTTGGCTGTGTGGGTGTTGAAGAAACACAAGCGTTTGCAACAAGGATTAACTCGCCACCCTAACTGTCAGGGATGCATTTTCTCGTCTGTCGTTTTGATCAGTCTCTTGAACCGTAGACACGATAGTAACAGAAATTTTAACCCACTTTTAACTACTCCGGAGACGAAACAAATGATGCTCTCTACCCCACCAGGTGGGTGTGAAGAAGATAGCTGCGAGGCTTAGCTTTATGTGGCAAACCAAATTAAAGAAAAAGAAAACTAAAAAGGTTGAAGAGGAGATCCATGAAGCGATGCAGTTTCCTCTCGGGTATCGCTACCGGGCCTATGTTTATGCAAACAAACGACAAGATAAACTTTACTCTATACAAAAGCTAATATCCGAATATAAGTAAATGTATTCAATTCGTTTGATAAGCATTTTTATTTTTAGTTCCAATTCTTATCAATCCATGACCTTTTACATTATCGAGTGCTTAAATATTCCTATGTAAAGAGTTGTTGCTCTCGTTCACAGCCTCACTCTCTAGTTTTGCATATTTGCCTATTTATGCTGTTCTCTCCCCCCCACCTTTCTCTCCCCCCTCTCTCTCTCTCTCTATATATATATATCTTTCTCTCAATCACTCTCTCTATATATATATATCTTTCTCTCTCTCTCACTCTCTCTCTCTATATATTTCTCTCTCTCACTCACTCTCTCTCTCTCAATATATATATATCTTTCTCTCTCTCTCACTCTCTCACTCTCTCTAGATATATATATCTTTCTCTCTCTCTCTCTATATATATATATCTTTCTCTCCCCCCTCTCTCTATATATATATATATCTTTTCTCTCTCTCTATATATATATATATCTTTCTCTCTCTCTCTCTCTCTCTCTATATATATATATATATATATATATATATATCTTTCTCTCTCTCACTCTCTCTCTCTCTCTATATATATATATATTTCTCTCTCTCTCTCTCTCTCCTATATATATATCTCTCTCTCTCTCTATATATATATCTTTTTCTCTCTCTCCCCTCTCTCTCTCTCTCTCTATATATATATATATATATATATCTTTCTCTCTCTCCCCTCCCTCTCTCTCTCTCTATATATATATCTTTCTCTCTCTCCTCTCACTCTCTCTAGATATATATATCTTTCTCTCTCTCTCTATATATATATATATCTTTCTCTCCCCCTCTCTCTCTATATATATATATCTTTCTCTCTCTCTCTATATATATATATATCTTTCTCTCTCTCTCTCTATATATATCTTTCTCTCTCTCTCTCTCTCTATATATATATATATATATATATCTTTTCTCTCTCTCTCTCTCTATATATATATATATCTTTTCTCTCTCTCACTCTCTCTCTATATATATATATCTTTCTCTCTATATATATATATATATCTTTCTCTCTCTCCCTCTCTCTCTATATATATATATCTTTCTCTCCCCTCCCTCTCTCTATATATATCTATATCTTTCTCTCTCTCTCTCTCTCTCTATATATATATATATATATATATATATACTCTCTCTCTCTCACTCTCTCTCTCAGAGGTGTTTTTTTCTGTTGCTCACTTTTTAGATACACACCGATGTTATAATCCCAATAGTTTGCTTTATCTGTCATTGGATACACATCATACAATATTCCACTGATAAAGCTGTTATTTTTTTTTTTTTGTAAATCTATATATTTACACACAAACACACACACACACAAACACACATAGCGTATATTTTAGCAGCATGTTTTTATTAAGACATGTCTCATTAAATAATTGAGACAAGTTTTGTCTAATTATTCTTAATAAGAACCTTTCATATTTAAGAACGATTTTTTTTTGTATTCGTATTAAAGGAAGAAATAAAATTACCATGTTGATGTATATCCATTTTATTCCCGAGTGCTTTCGACATTAGCTCAATGTCAAACTTCAAATTTGCTGTATTCATCTGAAAATTAAGTTTTTTACATGTGAAATCAGAAATGCTCATCTTCAGGGTCTAGCTTTTTGCAAAGAAAAATTGCTGTGTTTTTCTGAAAATATTTTTTTTCACTTGTGATGCTAAACTATCTACTGTAGAATTTTTAAACAAGATTCTGATATTGTGCGAATGTCGAAGGTACTCGGAAATAAATTAGATACACATCAATATGGTAATTTTCTTTCTTACTTTAATAGGGATTCTAAGCTAACACGTCCGTAAATATGAGAGGATCCTATTAAGAATAATTAGACAAGGCTTCTCTAAATCATTTAATGAGACATGTCTTAAGATATATATATTTATTTCAGTTGAGCTCTCTGGGGAGGAAATCTGGGTTTGTAAACTATGTCTACCACGGCTAATAATGCATGCCTCTTCGGTAAATCGATTTGAGTTCACTCAGTCACTGTGTGTTTATCTAAAAATAAATAGGCTTAAATTCGACTTCATCCCTGTCGTGCGCCAACGGCTTAGTGGTAGAATACCCCGACTGACGCCAATTTAATAGGGTTTCAGTCAACCTGATGTCTAGCCACACTGATGAGCTGTAATACAGCGAAACACTCTGTCTGTGGATGACAATATATATATATATATATATATATATATATATATATATATATATATATAATAGTAGTAGTAGTAATTCTGATCAAAAAGTATCGTCATTTGTGCTATGAAAATAAAACAGCACCACCTATCAATTCGGTATTTAATCTGCTACGAAATAGTCCCACTTCATCCAACGTTTTTCCATTGATAGATAGATAGATAGATAGATAGATAGATAGATATATGGATAGATAAATACAAATTTTGTCTATTTATAGCGGTCATATACATACATATATCTATATCCATGTCTTCTATATCTATCTATCTATATATATATATATATATATATAGATAGATAGATAGATAGATAGATAAATAGATAGATTCTGAGATTTTGGCCATGAATACAATTGATTGAAGTACAGGGTGCTTTTGATAAATTGTCGACATTTTAGACTTTTAATTTCGCGCATGCGCGTTGTTTGTTTTTCATTTTGTTGACTGCACAGTATAGTATGGTCAGTTGGGCGCCGTCTGTGAGAGAAAAAAAAAGTACTATAACTCAATTCACTCCGCCAGAAATTTGGAAACAGTATGGTTTACTGCTTGGCATCCGCGCTGCAATCTCCAATACGAACATTTCAGAGTGTTTGGGTGTTTAGCTGAGGAGAATGAAGGGGATTCGGAAACGGTTGTATGAGACTTATGGTGATTACAAAGGTTTGGTAGCTAGGAAAACTCACCCTAATCGTTCTGATAAGAACTGTCGAATTTGTTGATGAGGGCCTCTGACACAATAGGGAGGCCTAAATCAAGTGCCCTGGGAAGGAAGTGCTCCCCTGGGTCAAAAGGGTGGCTGCTGGAAGACTCTTTGTCTCCAACAAGAATTTGTATCATGCCATACAAGCAGGAGAACCATGTTTTGACTGTCAAACAATTTCTGCGACGACATTACCCCTTATATCTGACCACCTAACTCCCCAGACAGGCAACTCCCTTAATTACTTTGCGGGGCATAGTTTAGCGAGTGACCAACAAAACTCCTCATAACAGCAACTAACTGAAGACAGATTAACCGTCCAGAAGTGTTGCAGGGAATTTCGAAGACTTCTGGACGCCGTGGCTGAAGCCAATGGCTATTTTATTGAATTTAATCCTTAGTATTTCAAAATACGTGTGTACAATTTTGGTAAATATATCTGTTCAAAGGAGGTGCCACTTGTTTTGTTTTTATTTTTGGGTAATTTAGACGTCAGTTTATCCATCGCACGCTATAGTTGGTAACGCAAATAATATACACGGCCATTTTTTAGTTTCGCTAATATTTTTCTTTAAATTTAAACCCCCGCAATAGAGACTGAAGTTTATCTATGTAAATGGCACTCGTTAAATAAACGTATCGTCTTTGAAGAATGAGTACAAAAAATTCATTTACAAGTATAAAATTTATCAAAAATTATTTTGGATTAAGTTGACCTTAACCTATAGGATTGTTTATGCTAACAGCTATAAATTCAACAAGCTATTTATAAGCAGAGGGCGTTTTTAAAATAAACATGTCATATATATATATATATATATATATATATATAACTCCACCCGTCTCTTTGTTTACCTACGTTCACGCTTCCCGTTCTCGACCTCCAAGTTCGCCAAATTCCGCGATAGAAAAACGCTTCTATTTTCAAATTCAAGTCGCCGACGATTGCTTAAGATCGGCAACCTCGACTTGAAGATTAGAATTTCATAGATCGTTTCAGATTAGGATATAGGTCGTTTGTTTTATACTAGTGTACCACTGCCATCAAAAATGGCGGCAATTTTAGAAAGTTTTAATAGTGAAAGTCAATGAAACAAAAGTTTTGAAACAATGTATTGACATTCAATAAAGCGAAGAAAAAAGATTTCACAACTTAAATAGAGACTAATGAACCTTTTAATTAATATGTTCCTTTTATGTTTTTGATATTAAATAGTATCTACAATTCAGTGCTTACTCCTTGTATTATATAAATCGCATTATTCAATAACTTTTCCTCGAAAGTATTATCTGTTTAATATGTCACCGTAAAGAAAATATCTCTCGGAAGAAAAGTTTAGCAAGAGAACGACAAAGACGGCGACGACAAAGCTTATTTCAAGACCAATTTGAAGCAAGAAGATCACTTAATAGACAAAGGTATCTGAGTGCCTCACATAAAAGGCTTCAACAAATAAGACTGCAATCTAAGAAACGTCAGAGTAAAAGAAACGGTTAATTAAACAGTTCATTTTGTTCGGGAAATAAGTTTGTCTAAATGCAGACCAATATTTTGTTTGTATAGATTATTAAAACGATAAAGTAATCGTTCATTTAATTTGCTAACTTATGTTGATTTACCTCCTTTCTCAATATGGATGTGATAAGAAGTATATAAATAAATACAAACTGTTAGTTATTATACGGTTTGATAATTGGAATTTATAATACAAATAGAATTATACTTGCTATATTTCTATATAACCAACTAACAGAAACCTCACCAGTTAAGAACTTTCAACAACAGCAAAAACTAAAATAGTTACCACATATAATTGTAAGGAAAATAATAACATAACCAAGAAATTGACTACACACTCTATTTCAAACGCAACTAAATTAAAGCCCCTATCAACACTGGAAAGAGCAATAACACTTGGTGGACTTGAAAACATACTTACCTGGAAATTATTTTAAGAAAAAGATATTATAAATTTTAACTGACAGCTGTACTATCTTCTATGTGAGTTTATGCCGAATGTTTCTATATAAGGAAAGGGCTAATATTATCATTACCATTAGGAATGAGGAGAAACAGATACTAGATTTTGTTCTCATATCTCCAGGGTGTCAAGAAAAGCGTAACTAGCTCTGGATGATCGGAGGATGAATGCCTAATGTTTCATTATAAGGAAAAGTCTATTATAATTACCGTGAGAGATGACGATCAACAGATAGTAAATTGTGATCCTAGTTATCCAGAGAATCAAGTAGAGCCTAAATGTAGTAGCACTGGACCAATGGTTAACAAATGTTTATTGGTTCCTTATAAGAAAATGCCTGATATTAAATCTAGGTACCATAGCAAGGAGCTTACCATAAAAGTATTTATAGAAAAGTCAAAGAGAGGTAAACTTAGGGCAATGAGAAAGTGACTGAAACCGATCCACCAGATCAGGATCAATAATATTGCTGATTTTTTTAAGATATTATCATGGAGCTCCAGGTAAATAGCAGGGGTACCGGACCAAATACGGCAGCAATATTCAGAGCCTGGTCGAATGGTAGGCTTATGGATAGATTCTGGAGAGGAAAACGAGCCACTTTCATGAAGGTTAGCATCAGCCACGTTGGTGGAAGGCAGCGAGGGGTCTCTCAAAGAATTTTAATTTTGGAGGCGTTAAAACTAACAAGCCATCTTTTGCCCCATTTAACGACGAACTTGAGGTCGTTTTAGATCATCAGCTGCTATTCTTGTCGGAATAATAAGCCTTACTATCGAGGCAGGAGTAAATGGTTATGTCATCAGCGCAAATACCAACGTTAGAGATGAAGTCACCGGGAACGTCATTTCATTAATGAGAATTAAAAAACATGGTAAGATCAAGGATGGAGCCCTGGAGAATACATGCGTTAGTACGAAAGGATATAGTCGAGTTCACGTTCAGGATAACTTTTTATTTTACGATTTGGATTAGTACAAAAAAGTGTCCGGAGACACCATAACTTTTCAGTTTGTGCAGAATATCTGAATACCAGAGCATGTCAAAGGCTTTCGAGATGGCCAATCCTACAGACCGGGCTTCACTTTTCTTTTCTTTTTTTTTATCTAGACTCTTTCCGCAATTATTGTCATTGGGTCAGCAGTTGACCTGGAGAAACGAAAGCTATATTGCTTATCTGAGAAAAAGCCCTGCGATGAGAGATGACGAACCAATTTAGCAGTGATTAGAGCCGCTAAGAGTTTCCCAAAAAGAGGTAGAAGGCTAATAGTTCGATAGCTGGAAGTGTTGGACGGTTCCCCAGAGTTCTTAAAATCTGGAACATCAGAAGATGACTTCAAGCAGGCACGAAAGCAGGAGGCAACGAGGCATTTATTATAGAGTTTAGAGAGAACAGGAGCCAGTTCGGGAGCCCACTTCTTAATTGCTATTACAGGAATACCAACAGATCCACATGCTTTGTGGGGATCTAGGTTAGAGATGATAGAAGAAAATATGTAAGAGGTTCTATGGATACCACTCAACGGAGAATCAGTTCTAAGTGGGAAGTTAGGCAGGGATATTATCGATGAGTGAAGGGTAGAGTTTGTGAAGAATTTGCGGCCAAAGCATTCAGCTTTATCAGCAGAGGATGATAAAACCTCAAACTGATTGAAGAGCGGAGGAATAGAAACCATACACTTATTTAATTCCCTATTACAAAGCCGCCAATAATCAAGAGAGCCAAAGTATTTAGACGCTATGCGGTCCCTCAATTTTTCGGCAAACAGGGATTTAACTCCTTCGATGACTCGCTTACACGAATGTGCGTCTGTTGTGACGAGAGCTGTCAAGCTGGTATAGCCGAGAATAGTGGTCCCTATGTGCTATAGCAGCTGCGTATGGTGGTGTGAACCATGGAAAGGATTAAGGTTTCTTCTGGTATTTCAGAGAAGGGATGAAAGCGTCCTTGCCAGCTTTGACCCAAGAAGAAACCTCAGTAGTCCAAATTTCAATTGTGATTTTTAAAGATGTCAGTCCAATGGGCCTCAAGGAGAAATTCTCGGAGTGTGTCCCAATCAACATGCTGGCTGGCAACGGAAAATGTTTGTGGATAGGGGAGTTCCAGTTTAATAGAGGACTGAAACGAAATATCAGTTGCTACCGAAGAGTAGTCAGAACTGCCAAGAAGGTAGTGTTGCATAGCTCGACAAGGGCGAGGAGAGGAGGTAAGTAGAAAAGCATGTTGCTCGACTTTTCTAGGGAAACGATTTGTGCAACGGATTGGGCAACGGGAAAAATGTAATGTCCGAACACCGGCTGCATCAGTAGCTTTAGAATGTTTAAGCCACTGTGTGATGGTGAGCATTAAATTAACACAAAGATGCTAGCAGATGGTTGGAGAGAAAGTGTCTTTTTTATACTGTCAGCAATAATGTCTAATATACTACAGGCCTGAGAAGAGGTGGAAGATAAAGGGTAAAGAGATAGCTAACAGAGTTTAGTAACGAAAGACAGAAGCACATGAAGGTGTAGTCAGGGACCTCGAGAGACAATTCGCTGGCAATCGGAAGATTGTCCCGGATGTAAACACCAAGGCTATGCATGTCAGTGCAGGAATCTTTTGGGCAAAGTGGAAGATAGCCTGGAACGAAGAATTCATTGGTAGCAATGGAAGAATTTTAGTTAGTTTTACAGAGGGCAAAGATATCAGGTGACCGTTCCTAGGGGAAGAATTATACGCCGCAGAAGTTGGTAACCGATACCACAGATATTAATGAAAAAATGCCGAATTTGGTAGGTTTTTTTTTGGTGGGGAGGGGCTTTTGTTTACTGGTTTAGTATTTCTTTGGTTTTGTTTTCCATGAGTTTCGTTTTGAAGAGAGAGAGAGAGAGAGAGAGAGAGAGAGAGAGAGAGGACCACTGTAAATGTCACTATCTGTCGACAAAGGTAATACAAACCAGGCAGATCATGGCTGAGAACAGAGCATATTGTAGCCTCACGGTTAACCGCCGGATATACATGCAAGAAGACCTAACCATGCGTGACATGTCACTATATGTACTCCAATATTATGCAACTGTTGATCAGAGCAGCCTCTCTAAGCGTAACCAAAGAGTAACGACCGGTCGGCGGTCGGAAGCAGCAGCCGGAAAACTTCAAACCCGGTACCCTGACAATGGAAAGTCACAGCCCCTGTCAAGTCCGATCAGCAAAGAGTAAAGAGTTAAATGACCGTGGACCTAGTAGAAAGAAAGAAAGAAAGAGAAAAGGTAAACTATATACTGAACAGGAAAACATGGGATGGACCTCTGCATAGATATGGAAGGAGTTCAGGCCGAACAAAAACTGAGCCTATCTACTCTCATTAATCAAAGCACATAAAATCCGAGAGAAATAAAGAATGGCTTGGTTCTGATGTCCACTAAGCAAACTGGAGAGGGGCTGAAGTGAGAAGTTTAATAATTAATATCAACGTAGAAAAGAAAATAGAAGACAAAGAAGGAAGGAGAAGCAAAAACATCCGAAACAAAAACAAAAAAAAAAAGAAAAGAAATTTAAAAAGAAACTACAAACAGCAAAATGGCGGCACGAGGCATTGTAAGTTAGTTACAAGAGACGCTTCAGTTGCTTCTTTCCAATAATTGCATTGGACATTTTTACGGAGAACCCAAGCTGACTTAATTTCAATGGTGCTTTGGTACAATTACGGCGACTTTGAAACGAGTAGTTTGATTTCCATGGCTGAAAGCATACGAGTGTCTCTCACTTGAGATGGATAGTGGTGGTACGGGGGTATGAAGGGTCAATCTTCTTAGCGATAGACGTATATTTCTTTTTTTGGCTTCTCTCAGAGGAATTCGAGTTTTTTCCCTGATACAAAGAACAACCAATCAGACACAAGCGAATGACAAATCCCAAATAATAGACACACACAGACAGACAGACAAACAGACACACACACACACACATATATATATATATATACACACACACATATATATATATATATATATATATATAATTTATTCGAAAATTATAACATAAATATGTTATAAAATCACTGCAAAAATAGCCATTACGTTTCAACACTTTTGGTGTCTTATCAAGTGATGGTGTTGAATGCAGAATAAAGAGTTTTAACAGATTCAAATCAACCAAATACAATCCTATAATTGGATCTATCTCTCTCTCTCTCTCTCTCTCTATATATATATATATATATATATATATATATATATATGTAAGCAAATGCATATAGATCCGACAGTATGAAGAAAAATATACTGAAAAAACAAACAAAAATCCTAATATGCGATTATGCTGTTTTAATGTTTAATGTCAACGTCAAATACTCAAATTTTAGGAATACGTTTTCACAACATCGGCCATGTGACAACGACGTGATCATATTTAAACGGAACGCTGATCTTATAAAAGATTTCAGTTATCTGTTTGGATTGGTATTGCTTTTATGTCCATCGTCTTTTCATGTTGAATTGTATATGGTCTATGTTAATTATGTTTTATGAATATGTCCTGAAGATGGTTTATTAGACCGAAACGTCCGACGTTGACATTAAACATTAAAACAGCATAATCGCATATTAGGGTTTTTTTAGTTTTTTCAGTATATTTTCTTCATATATATATATATATATATATATATATATATATATATATATATAGAGAGAGAGAGAGAGAGAGAGGAGGAGTGAGAGAGGGAGAGCGAAAGAGTTGATTAAAACAAATTAAAATGCAGGGTTATTCATTTTTTTACTTAGTATAATCCCCAACATACCCTTTCTTGGAAAATGTCAAGAATAAATTACCGTTCAGTTTACCATATAAAAATGTTATATTGCATGTTAACAATAAATTAATGCGTAAGTACTTTATGCAGATATACCCGTATGCGCGTGTGTGCATATATATATATATATATATATATATATATATATATATATATATATATATATATATATGTATATAAACGCGCAGGTTCTGAGACAAGCCTTAAGATAAATTTAAAACATTGAAGGAATAAAAAAATAAGATTCAGAAACAGGATGACGTAGAGAAGAGAATAGAAGGAAAAAAACAAGGAAATTACGGAAAAGAATAACAATCAAATTTTTCATTTCAACGATTAAAAATATTCATTAAGACTGGCGAAGTCATCTAGTCTGTTCTTGGACGAATATTAAAGCAAATTTGCGTTACTGTGTCGTGCCAAAAGATTTTATCCTCAAAGTCCATCTTTCACATTTACAAATCTATCATTCGCCCGCGCATTGAATGTTGTTACCATATCTGGTCCGATCCTCCTGCCGTACATCTCAAAATTCTTGAGAAAATCAAAAAAGGGTCTGTGATGTGATCGATTCTGGCCAGGCAACTTGACCTCAGTGAGTTTCTCACTGACATGGATTGTTTAACGTATTATTCATTTGGAGGAGTTGTTTTAACTAATTTGCTAAATTTCTATATATGTGCCATTTAGTTGCACGAAACACATCAAGGCGGTACTCAGTCTACACGCTCGATGTTTTCCTCAGATGTTCTTGATTGTCCACTCCTCCTTTT